TAGTACGACTCAATTTGCGATCTACGTTGCACGTCTCCGTCGTGCTCACAAGGAGCTTACATAAGTCTAACCGGGAAGGGATACATTTCGGCCCCCGTCGAAGACAGTTATGTGGTAAGACTAAGTGCAAATAGAGCCCCAGGATACATTTGGCCTGTGGGTTCGTCCAAGTAGCACCCCCAAATCAACCCGCTATCGAAAGTGATCTCCCTACCCTAGTGGTCCAGGAGCAAGTAAAGACCAGGCGGTCAACAGCCCTGAGATATCAAGGAAGGAAAGGCCAAGGTTGAGAATCTCCCCTGAAGAATTTGGTTATAAGTCTACCCTCGACCTAGTCGACCGAGTGGCCACCTACTCGCTTATCGAGTGAAGCATATCCGCTCGAGGCACCCAAGTTCGGCCTCTTTAAAGGCCGACACCACATCTCAACCAAGTCCTCCGAAGAGTGCAACCCGCCAGCCGACGGGTACACAAGGTGAGAGAAGGTCTATACGCGGCATCGGGGTACCCCCTCTGACAGTCGGCAGTCAAGCACAGTGAGTGGCTTGGGGTCTCATCACGCAGTTATGAGAATCCACTCCACCTCATTGGCTTGAGACCAACTTCTTGATTCTGATTGGTTAGGGTAGCTCGTATTGGAAACGAGGACGACCTACTATAAATTGAGATCTACCATGAAGGACCAGGGTCGAACTAGGTACCAGGGTCCAGGGACTACCAATGAAGGACCTAGGTTTATTTTGAGGGACCGAGGTTGACTGACGAAGAACCAAGGTCGACCTCTAGGGACCAGAGTTGAGAGTCCGCCGACGACGGACCGAGATCCACATTGAAAGACCTGGGCCTACCGATGAGGAACCAAAATCCACTTTTAAGGGCCGAGGTGTACCGATGAGGGACCAGGATTGACCTTAAAAAAGATCGGTACACCTTGAGATACCTTGAGAGACCGAGGTATACCGTTCAACGCCTCTGTAGTCCCCTTTCTCTCCGGCCTGCCGGTCTTGAGCTTTCCCTATTTTGAGATTACTTCTATACAGTATGGTTTGTTTGTAATGTCGGCTATAATAATAGCCGACTCAACCTGTCGGATATACCGAATAAGATATTTAACTTCTTTACCATCGAGCACTTCGACAAACATTTGGATGTAGTTCGGTCTACGAAAAGGTTCCTGCGCCATAGTCTCCCTAGGCGAAGGTGCAGGTGAAGGACATTCGTGCTTTTGTATGCTCTACAAGATAGTTGTTGATTGCTTTAAGCTATAAATACACATCGACCTTTTGCTTCGCCTTCGGTGATCAGGAATCACACGCTCTTTAGGACAAAGATAGGGAGCAGCTTTTGCAATTATATTTGTTGTGCCTGCGATAGGCCAACCGCGGACATCTTTACGATGTTGTTTTTACAGAAAGTAGTCACAGATCCAGGCGAAGGATTGACTACGAGTGTTGTCAGGTGTAGCAAAGCTGCTTGTGCACTAAGTACAATCTCAACGAGATTTTTGCCATAATGTTTTCACCATTTCAAGGCTAGCACTATAAGCTTGTGCCTCGGTGATTGTAAACAACCACGTCTCTATGAGACCAGTATCCACAGATACTAAAACATTTTCTACGAATGTGCCATAGCAACAAATGTTAAATAGATCAGGTTTATAACAAGTTTATTTTATAGGTTATCTTCTAGCATTAATATAATAACACGCACTCAAATACTTAGTGCGACTCACTATATCTGCCGGCTCTGTAATCTTCCTACTATATGAATATTTGCTTATTGCACTTAGCCAATTACTTTGACCACGTACGATGTGAACCCAGCGTAACTTTAATGCGGTCACACATAAAGATGTGAGCCCAAAGTACCACAAGTACAGCCACACCGATATGGTGTGGAAGGTTAATATAACTAGACCTTCGTATAACCCCGGTACATTGTTCAACTACATCTTGGTTTGCTAGTTCGTATCCAAATAATACGTCGATCTCCTGGCAGTCATTATCTCAAGCCCACACTTAAGTGATTCCTTAAGGTGATGTATGCTTACTTCATGATGTAATGAAAGTAGTGATCAGCCTTCAGCACGCTTTAACTTTGACACACCGAATTTGATAAAAACCTAGGCTTATTGAAACCTTCAATAACTTACATCCTTTTCATACAGACCGTCCGAAAAGCCACCCTCGGTCGTGCCAGCCATTATTGGCTGCAAGTGCCTGTACTATGTGAAGCTGGCCGCTAGTATGAATCTGGTCTTTCTCTAGCCGCTTGTCGACACTAGAAGGAAAGCATGTATACCGGTAGTCTTCGGGTACTAATATTTATCTGTGAGAGAAATTTTGGATGTATTCCTTGCCGATCAGTGAGTCACATCAGGTTTCCGACATGTGATATACCAGTTACTTATCTATTATCTATGAGAACTTGCTGTGTACCTAGTCTATGTATGAAGTAAAGTATGCACATGTTGCACAAAAGGTGAAAGTAAAAGTAATATGTTGTCATTAACAATTCGGCTAGCGCAATTTACATCCAGTTCCATGCAAATGCTGCGACAAGATGTAACCTTGCTGCAACTTATCCATCCGCTTTTCATCCCACCAGCGCAGCCCATCTCATATAGTATACGAAATTATAGGCGCGGGCGTACTAGTGGAGTACAGTTCACGGTTGGTCTAACTGTATCCCAATCGCGCACGTAGCTAAAGTGGTACTGCTACCCAAAGTACGTGCCTAGCGATCTTGATACACACTAATTGACACTCCTTTGATAACTTATGGTGAGCTTGGTAAGTGTATGCTTACGCATAGAGAGGAGCACTGCCAGTCTAAACAAAATCTTAATCGATTTCGAATCTAGTCTACTTTGCTCATTTGTATCATTACATGTCGAACCTTACTTGTTGTAAAGGGGTTACACAAAGGTGTGTATTTTACATACACACCTTCCACACCAATGTGGTGTGGCTGTACCTTGGGTACAAGGGTAGGCTTGATGTGACCGTACCTGAAGTACAAGGGTCGCATCCTGGCAGAGCTACGTGGTCACTATAATTAATTAGGTATAGTGACGATACATCTTTGCATATTAATAGGCTACAGAGCCAGTAAATAGAGACTAGCACAAAGTATAGAGTAGGTGCTTCTATATGTAGTGCTAGAAGATAAAAATTAATGTAAATTAGTTTCAAACCTGCTCTACAAGCATCACTGCTTGAGCTTACTATTCCTTTAAGTGTTATTGTATCTTTGGTACTAGTCTCTTGGAGACGTCGTTGCTTGCAAACAAGGTGTAATGGGGTAAGAGCCTGTCACCGTCTCACACTGTGAGAATACTAGAGGAAGCGATGTTCTTATATAAGGTAATCTATATTTGTTTATTTATGCTTTGTTATAATTCGTAACAAGTACGAAGTTGTTCTCTTATCATGAAAACCACCCAAATTGGGTCGATTTGCTATTGGTTAGTTATTGGGTCTGGCATCCCAATAATAGCCAATAATTAATAATGTGCAGTATTTGCTATTCGGATACTGCCTATACCGGCTTATGTATTTATGTAATAAAACCTATAGCTACTTGATATAATAAATTGCCCCATTACATCACCCGTCTCTTTAAGATGCGCTTACCTCAACATAAGCGTCACACACATAATTTGCTTTCAACAAATAGTCGCACGAGAAGTTTAAGGTGTAGTCCAACGGTGTGTCGTCTTGGTCTTTAAATCTGCTCAGTTGTACACAGTTGAGCAGCATGAACCCCGAGCACTCACGTGTAGAGATACCGAACAATGGTGAGGCATACAGGCGGAGATCCGAAGGGAACGAACACTACGAGTAATGGATAAGGACTTGAAACCGTCGGGCTTAAACAGCTGAAGGAGCCGAAGAGCCTGCATCGCTCGAGTCGATGAAGAGGCTTGTTACACGATACCGCAACGTGCGGGGCAAGACGACGAGTCATGCATACACTGAAGACGCGCTGCAACGATCTTGGTGTGCCTTCACCAGACACTAAAACGCGAGCCGACGTGAAGAAACATCCTTCACGTCTTGGATCGAGATGCGCCAAGACACTCGTGGTGTGCACAATATTGGCGATTTACGCTGGCTTATATGCCGTCTGCACGTGATGGGTTCCACATGTGTTATGTGCATGTCCGTGAAGGGTGTGCATCGTACTATGTGGAGACACCACGTCCATTTAAACAAGAATGGAAAGACTTAGTGTGTGCGCGGGGAATGCCCTAGCACATCCGACCATGGATCGGCCGCTATGATAGAAGCCTCTTAGAGCTCCAAGTATCGACGCTGCGTCGCAAAAGAGAGTATCCTGCCGACCAAAGGAGACGTTTTAGCAGTCGTGACCGATTAATGTACGACCATCGTGGCTGTTCACGTAGCCGTTCACGGAGTCGCTCTCGACGTCGATGGTATACAAGCTTTCCCGAGCCTCATGGTAGACCTCGGAGTCGCTCGGGAGATCGTCGTTTATCACCAACTCGCGAGCGTCACGGCGCGTGGGATCGTGTGGGTAGTTAACAGCGTTAACAGCTCGGTCGCTGTCACCATATTCTTACTGAATTTATGCTCCTCGACAACGTCAGGCACATCGCGAACCTGGACCAGATCTAGCGCGACTTACGACTGGCGTTCAAATTTTCCGAGAGATGAGTCACACTTGCGTGCAGTCTTCTTCATATTTCGAATAGGCAAGCTATCAATGCGTGACTACGTGCAAAAAAAACGTTGTCTATTGTCGCGTATTACTACACAGCCGATCGAGATGGCCTCACAAGTGCATGTCTTTGTTTGTGGTATGCAGGAAGGCATGACGTGTTATTTCCTCGCACGTGTCGAGCCGAAGACTCTTGAGAGGTCGTTGACCTCGCGCTTCGTGAAGAGTACATGGTCTCGTCGTCATGCTTGCACGCAGCGTCGCAACTTCCGCGTATGTCTGGCTCATAGCCCATGGAAATGGATGCGATTGAGGCATCACGTGGTCGCAACAATCAATTTGGCCGCAACGTTCGTAGTCAAAACACGATAAAATATTTTCTATGCAGCACGACAGGCCATCGTGCGGCCGTTTGCCGATCACCTGCGCTGGTGTCCATGAACACAAGTGACTTACGTGGAGATACTGTGTCGTCCGCGGTCCCGCCAAGAAATGAGCGGTTCCAGTAGTCGTGAATTGCTCTAGAGTCATTTCCTCGTCGTTAGGTGCATGCGCCTCGTTGTACTCAAAGACAACATCCATTTGTGACTTTACCCGGCCCTCCAGGGTCAGTACCTCGTCACCTACGTCACCTGGAGTTGCGTCCTGACATCTTGGCTTGCAGCCACTTGCATCACTCACGGTGTTTAATGATGTAACATCATTCTCATGACACATGTCATGTGTGCCATCTAGTGGGTTCTCAACCCCACTATCGACAGTCCTTGGACCTCGCCCAGGACTATTGTCCTCGACACTTACAGTTTCTACAAAGTCGGATATTCCGAGATCCAACATATTGACCGACTCGGTCCAATATCAGCGCCAAAAGCGCTTTTGCTTCCTAGCAGAGGTTGGTTCATGACTCTCCAGAGCCCCTCCAGGAGCATTGCGCGTTGCACCTAAGGTCTTCAACCTCCAAACAATCCATGGCTTACGACGTTGTAGCCATTCCATGCCTAGGATGAGGTCATACCTCGCATCCAGGTCTAAGACCAAACAGCGTTCCATGCTGTTAAAGTCCAAGAACTTTACATCTAAGTCCATCGGGACTTGGGGTATCGTAACACGCGTACCCGTCGCTACGGGACATGTGACTTTGTCACTCTCACGTGCTACAAACGCTTCAGCATACTTCTGACTCCCTTCCACGGTGGCACGGCGCACATAATTGCCCGATGCCCCCGAAGCGATCAAAATGATCCATGGCTTATCAAAGCTCTTGATCTTCCCTTCGACGACTAGCAAGCCTGGCTTGCATTCTCGTTCCGTTTTTGAAAGTTCAAATATCTTTGGGGCTGGGCCCTGTTTATTTCTACTTCCTAGAGGCTCAACAGAACTCAGTTCTTCCCCAGTAGGGCGCCCCGCGCCTACTCAAGTGATAGCATTTGTAGTAATTTCCACACCTGGGTTTGCGACGACTTCTCTGTGTGAGAATGGACATCGACGAGATGTCATCGGTTGGCCTGTCACAGGCACAACAGGAAGGGTTACAGAAGCTGATTCCTATCCTTGGCCCTAAGGGCGTGGAGTACCTCATCGCTCAGGGCGAAGAAGAGGTTAACAAGCGTATTCATATGCTTGATGAAAGTAATAAAGCTCTAGTCGAGCATGTAAAGGCACAGATTCCTTCTTCTGGCCTTCTCCCATGGCGACTATGGCGCAAGAAGTGGTCCGCAGACCAAAACCCATACACATGGAAGTCAATAAGTTCGACGACAAAGAAGGTGACAACCTTTTGCTTTGGTTCCGACAGGTTGAGTCGGCTATATTTATCTACGAACTGTACCGTGTTGGCTTTGCCACGGGCAAGTTAAGTGGATTAGCCAAACAGTGGGCGTTCACATGCGGTGCACCACTGCAAGATGCATTCCCAACATGGGCCGATTTGAAATCTCGGAGGACGCGGCAGTTTGCACCGCCAAATTAAGCACACCGTAATGGGTCGCGGTTTATGGCGTGTCGCCAAGGCAAGCGTGAGCTTGCGGCTATGTACAAGAGTTGAGAACTCTCATTGCTGCCATGGTCATAGACGCTATGCCTGAGGCAGTGACCATCACGGTCTTCATGGAGGGCCTCCGAGTTGGTGTTGCCAGAACGGAAGTCTTCCGGGTGTACCCGTCCTCATTAGAGGATGCTGTTGGAGTGGCATGGAATGCCGAGACCAACTTTAAGGCCGCTAAGCCTTCCACTTATAACTAGTCGTCTGATGGGTCTGTACCCATGGACTGTAGTCAAGTGGAAGGTAGACAGTACATGTGCTGAGAGGACAATATTCTTGAGCGAGGCCCACGGACTGTCGATAGTGTGGTTGAGAACCCACTAGACGGCACATATGACATGTGTCATGAAAATGATGTTACATCAATAAACACCGTGAGTGGTGTTGGTGGCTGCAAGCAAGATGTCAGGAAATGAGTTCAAGTGACATGAGTGACGAAGAACTGACCAACGAGGAACTGCCCCTGGAGGGCCGGGTGAAGTCACAAATGGATGTTGTATTTGAGCACAACGAGGTGCATGCACCTAATGACGAGTTACTGATCCAAGAGGGTCGAGTGAAGTCATCAATGGATGTCATCTTTGAGGATAACGAGGTGCAAGCACCTAGTGACGAGGTACTGGCCCTGGAGGGTCGGGTGAAGTCAAAAATGACGGCAGTCTTTGAGGACAACGAGGTGCGAACTCCTTATAACGAGGCATTGACCCAAAAGGGGGTGGGATGCAGTCATTAAACGAAGTGGCCTTTGACATTGAGGTGTGTGCACCTGTGGACGCTGATGCGTCGGATACTGAGAACATCATGAGTAGAAATAATGATATCGTGAGTGACGGTGATAGCGAACAGCTATATACACTCGTCAATGGTTTGACTGGGGGTATTGAAGATCCGATGGCTTTTTCGGCAATGCCCGCAGTAAGTGCTCTGTTAGAGCTGGAAAAATTGTCCTTTTCCGAGTTTGGCAGTGCCTTACAGCAGGCGACATCGCCGATTTTGTCGTGATACGACCTGAGTAGGTGTTGAACTCCTCATCGCCTTTGTATAAAGAAGTTCTTGATGATACCAAGAAGGCGCTGAATGCGCGTAGTGGATCTCAGATCCTGACGGACCCTTCGGATCCTTATTTTCCTTTGTCGAAGGAATATGGCGATGTTGTGTCCTGAGAATCTCCTACGGGGTTACCTCCAGGTGTACGTCATGAGATTGACTTGGTTCCAGGAACCAAATACAGTATGACGCGACAGTGGCCGCTGCCACGAGAACAATGTGACGTCATTGACGAGTTTATTCATGCGAAGCACGCGGTTGGCATGGTGCGTGAGAGCAAGTCTCCTCACGCTACGCCCATGTTTTGTGTGGGAAAGCCTAATGGGAAGTGACGAATAGTGCATGCTTACAATAAGCTGAATGCAGCCACTATCTCGGCTCAAACACCGATTCATCGCAAGGATGTCTTTCAGAGCAAGATGGTGGGATGTACGATGTACAGTGCCCTTGACTTAGTCGATGAATATTACCAACTGCTCATGCGAGCTAGTGATATCCCGCTGACAGCGTTCAGCACTCCGAGCGGTATACTCTGGGAGTGGTTAGCGATGCCCCAAGGGCTGCCTAACGCACTTGCAACGTTCAATCGTCTAGTGACGCAGTTGTTTCGGCCCCATAGGGCGTATGCTCAGACATATTTTGACGATATGTTAGTCCATAGTCGAGTCGAAAATGGCAAGACTGATGTGGAGAACCACATCGAGCACCTGCGAGCTGTGCTCAGTTGCATGAGGATGCATAAATTATATGCCAATATTGACAAATGCATCTTCGTGCGGAAGAGATTCTCTTTATGGGATACTTCATTGGGAAGCGAGGGATCCGGACAGACCTTGTAAGGTTAAAGCCATAGTGGATTGGCCGGTTCCGAGGAACCAAAAGGACCTCCACAAGTGGTTGGGTTTGGCAAATTACTTGCACAAGTATAGCCACAACTATGCGGAAGTGGCTAGGCCTTTGTCGAATCTCCTCAAAAATAAGTTGAATGGTGTTGGAACACCGAGCACCACGAGGCTTTTGAAGCCATTAAGGAGAGTCTCCTTCAGGCGCCAATTCTGGCTTTGCCTGATCCTGATCGTCCGTTTAGCGTCGTGTGTGACGCTTCGGACTTTGCCATTGGCAGTGCACTTTTGCAAGTCGACGCTGAGGGTCGAGAACGCGTCATCGCGTTTGAATATCGCCAGCTGAAAGCTGCAGAGAAGAACTATCCAGTTCATGACAAGGAGCTACTTGCGATGAAGTATGCCCTTGTTAAGTTCAGGGTACACCTGTTGGGCTCAAAGCTATACAGATCATGCGTCGTTACGCACAGAGACACAGTCGCCTCATCTCTCTCAGAGAATGGCTCGTTGGCTCTCCTTTTTAGCGGAGTATAACTTCGAGGGAATGTTTTGGCTGACGCGTTATCGCGTAGACCTGACTATGAGCTTGCTCATCTCACTGTTGTGAGATTTTCACTTACGGATCGTATCCGTGTGGCGTATGCACGTGATGAGGCATGTTTTGCCATTTTTCAGGCGCTGGGTAGCGCAGAGTTTGAAAACTTTATGGTGAAGCTGTCACCACGTAATCGTGCGCGATTACATCGTTATGCACTGATGATGGTCTGTCGTACTATAGTACCGGGTCGGATGACCAGCCTCGTGTTGTGGCGCCTCATGATGAGGACCTCAATATGTTTTATGAGGCTCATGATACACCACTTGGTGGTCATTAGGTCGTGAGAAGACCTACAGCTCGGTGAGCACACATTATTGGTGGCCCGAGTTGTATAAACGGGTTGGTACGTATGTAACGCACGTGTGAAACATGTCAAAGAGTGAAGCCCTCGTCTTTTATGGCTGCGATTTGGCGAGTTTGCCTGTACCATCGGGGTTGTGGCAGTCCATTAGTATGGACTTTGTGTTTGGTCTACCGCGCGATACGCCAGGCAACACTGGAATTGTGGTCTTTGTTGACCGACTGAGCAAGATGGATCATTTAGCAGCAGTGCCGGACTTCATTGATGGAGAAGGAACAGCTAAGCTGCTCATGGGCTGTGTGTTTCGACAACACGGATTGCTTGTGGCAATCGTCTCTGATCGAGGCCCCGTTTTACACGTAAGTTTTGGACGTCAGTCTTCTAAGTACTGGGCGCTCGACTGGACAACATGTCCACGACGGATCATCCACAGATCGATGGTCAGACAGAACGCGTGAATCGCGTATTGGTGATATGCTTCGGAGTGTTTGTGCTGAAACACCAAAGCAATGGAGCACGATGCTCCCACTCATTGAGTTTGCGTCGAACAACGCGGTGCATGTCTCGACAGGCTTCACCTCATTTTATGTGAATGGTTTGGTTAACCCTCGTGTTCCTTTAACACTACCCCTTGCCACATCAAGGCTTAGTAGAGGAGAGGTAGCCGAAGGCTTCAAGGATGAGGAGCAGCTTCTGCAACCCTGCAACCCTTCCTGTTGTGACTGTGACAGGCCAACCGCTGACATCTCATCGTTGTTTATTCTCACACAGAGAAGTAGTCGCCAACCCAGGTGCGGGATTGACTACAAGTGTTACCAGGTGTAGCCGAGCTACTGTAGTTACGCTACTTATGCACTATGTGCAGAAGAAGTAGTCAAACTACTGCAGCAAAGCTATGTATGCACTATGTGCAGAGGAAGACAAGCTCAGAGAGCTTCTACTCAGGAGGGTGATAAACCCTCCTAGGCTAGCTCGTAAGCTTGTGCCTAACGGTATTAACAACAGAGTCTCAGAGAGACTAGTATCAAAGATACTGATTCCTTAGAAGGAGTAGAATGCTCAATCTGTAAGGCTTACAGAGCAGGTTTGAATCGGATTTATATTGATGTTTATCCTATAACACTAAATGTAGAAGCACGTACTCTATAATTAGTGCTAGTTACTATTACTGGCTCTTGCCTGTTATTATTATGCAACATGCATAGTCATTATACTCAAATAAGTATAGTGACCACGTGGCTCTCTGCAACGATGCGATCCTTCGTACTTCAGGTACGGTCACATCACCTACTTCAGTACCCAAGGTGAAGCTACACCACATTGGTGTGGCAGGTGTGTATGTACAATACACACCTTTGTGTAACCCCGCTACAAGATATCTGCTGAAGTTTCGGCGGATCGTGGAGTGTGGCACGAGATTGACCTCGTGCCTGGACCAAATATTGCGCTACGCAGCATTTACCGTTGCCCCGCGATTAAGTCATCGTCATTAATGAATTTAGCCGCCGCAAGGCTGGCCTTAGGCAAGAGCACTTCGCCACTTTGAAGCTCGACTTGCTTTGTGAAGAAAGCCACATTGTTTGGCGCATTGTAAGCGCTTCAACAGGCTAAATGACACCACAATTTCAGCCCAGACGCCAATCCCGCGTAAAAAGTGGTTTTAGATTTCATGGCCATAAGCGAGATCTGCAGATTAACTCAATGGTTGCTTGGAGACTAATACAAAAGTACAGTAAATTTACTGTACTCCACAGCTTACAATCAGGTTTGCCGCAATTAAGCTAACAAAGAATCCAGAGAACAGTGCAACCACTGAAGGCCACAAAGTAAAAATAAGCTCATAATAATATTTGAGGCTTAAGCGATAGGGCCGCCTTAAAATACGCCAACCAACTGATAAAAGCATAAACTCTAGATCCAAAGTAGACATGACAATTATTGAAGCCGACTAATGGTTTAACGCTCAAACAAAAATCAGGTTATACGATCATGTAGGGACTAAGAGTAGCCTGCAACAGTTGAAATAAACGCGCACAAAACATTCCTCATTGACATGCGCAAGACTATGCTTATAAATATTAGTAAAGCTTCCAACAATTAAAGCTTCCATCCTACATCACAAATGGCGTCCTTCTCATCGTCTTCGTTCTTGGCCACCGGAGCTACGGTTACTGGCCGTCAAACTGCTGAAGCTGCCAAAACTCTTGAGCTGATGCGGCGTGAACGAATTCACAATTGACTTGGGCGTCGCATTAAATCGTGTGGCACTGCGGCCACTACTGGTGGAGCTGACTTCATGCTCACTCGCCTGTCGCTCGAACTGATGCATGGCTCTTGCCTGCGCTTGAGCTTCCTCCTGTGCCACCTCTTTCTCCTTTTCAAAAATCTTCAGCAAATCTGAGCTCTGGAATTTATTCACAAATGCATCAAAGTCGTGCGATGACGAAAACCATGACTTAATTTCTTGCCGCTTCGAATGACCACTGCTGCTACAATTTGTCTTCTTCTTGCTAGTCTTAGCCTTGCGCTCCTTTTCCGCGCACAGTACCAACAGCCGGTCGTAGAACTCGCGCACACCACTTACGAATGCTGCGGCACATTCCAAATCATAGTACCTTCTCTCTTCCAGCCCATTCAGATGCTGTACGCCTGACTGCAGCTGTTGATAATTACTGTCCAACTCAGACACCCCACTACCTGAGACCGGTGTCATCATCCAGCTGGATCCAGACCGGCTTGTGCTAAGCGCGTCATCAAAACCTCTTGAGGTGATACCTATTGGAGTAGAAGTCATCATGGGCGACCGCATAGATGATATACCAGACGTGGAGGCCGGCGTTGTCGGTCCACGACTTAGCACGAGCTGTTGTGAAGAATGCCTGCGACTCAATTTAACGCGCATCTTGTGGCGCTGCCGCGTGATCTTTTCGATCCGCTCCAAAAACTGCCTTCTCCATTTCTTTGGCAGCGAAACCGCATTCCGGAGCGTCTTATCGATCGCAAGCGATTCCACATCGTCAATATCAACCACAACAACGCATGATGAGAGCAGACGGGGGTCGTTGCCGCACTTCTTGGAAAATGATAAGCAGCTCTGCCATGTATCGGCTGTAGCACCAAACAAAAACGGAGGTTCATTTTCCATCGGTTTTTCTGCTGCCGCGCCAGGTGCCGATGGACTGTTTGCACCACCAATACCACCACTATAGCTATCACTGCTTCCTCGCAAAAAAGAGAACGAGCTTCCACTACCCCAAGCCCGCCAATCGTGCGAGAGCCTTGACAGTGACCTGCGATTTTTCGGCCGAGCCGTAAGCTCCGCCTGCGAATACTGATAAGCAGCATCGTGGAGAAATCTCCACGACGTCACAGGCACGAAAGGCAAGAAAGTATGTTGCCATCGGAACGGCTCTAGTAGCTTCAGGAGACTTGTAGTCACCTCCTGGATCTGTGGGTACGAACTGCCTACTACCACAACAGAATTCTCGAGCAGCAGTACTCCCAACAACTTCACTAATAATTTGGCACCAAATAACCGCATCGTCCGCAGAACTCCAGCACCAACTGCAGCTTCTTCAGCCTCAATGATTTCATATTCCGACAAATACCAGTCTGGTCGTGGAATCTCTTGACGCCACGCCCTCGTGTCACCCTCTCGCACATGAAACACCTTAAACTGGAGCTTCGGGTGCGTTCCAAAATGCGTTTGCATTTCCACTGCAAATTCGTAACCAATCGAGAGCACCAATTGACGGTCTTGGATCAACGCATGTGTGTTCATACGTGAGACGTCAAAATCCAGCATTCCATTAGGATTCCTAGTGTTCACATCTGACGAAACTCGAGTCCCACCTGGTGTCACGACTGATTCTATCGAAGAGCTGTCAAGCCCTCCAAAGTATAGCACAGCAATCTGTTGAGGATCAAAAGCATCGAGTAACGTTCGCAGATAGCGCAAATTTCGCGACCGAAACTCAGACGTCTCAATCTTTCCCTCAACATACTTACACTTTGCATCGCGCCACAAGTTGAAAATCCACCACAGCTTCTCCGACTGCACCTCGTCAAAATCGCACAAACCAATGGCACCATTTGAGCTACTACCTTCATCGTGTCCAAAGCCATTCCCTCTCCCAAGAACCAAATCTTCTCGAGTCGGCAATGCCCTTAAATCACCTAAATCAATAAATTTCACAGACGATGTTCGCTTCATCGTATTTATACTACTCTCGACCGATTCGGCAAAAACAGGTATACTTCCTCCGCCAGGAGAATGCCCATCGTCAGGTCGCAAGGACGGCAAATCTAGGCTTGGTGACGACAAATTTAGTACTTCTGGTTGCGGTGCCGAACGTGATCGCTCTCGCGTGAACCGTCGTGACTTTCGTTCGCCACTAATCTTTGCTGCAGTATGACCACTAGCAGTAGCACCGGACTTCACCGCAGCTGCAAACGGAGGAGGTGGAACATTAGGCCGCTCGCTTAACGAAGCCAAGCCTGTTCGAGGTGTAGCTGAACTTTTTAGACTGCCAGGTGCACAGTACGATACAGAGCCCTCCAGATACAGTGGTGTGGTGTTAGATGCCAATAACTCAGATATAGATGACATCGACTGGTTCTTCTTATGACCAGCTCGCTTTCCACCAGCTACACCAGCACTACTTAAGGACGGCGTGGCTATTTGCTTTCCGCTTCCGCTCAATTGCGGTGATAGCGCCGATATCGCCGCAGAAATGGACGAAGATCTGGAATTATTGCTGCTCACGCTAGAGACAGAAACGCTAGATCCTGACGGCACAGCTAAAGCTGTCGTAGCCTGATTGGATGTTGAGCCATGAGGAGGCAGTCGCTTGTGAGACCTTTGCAGCGCTCGAAACGTTTGCAACTGGTGCACAATACTACTCAGACACATTCGAGCACTCAGCAGCTCGTCAAGATGTACATGTAAAGTTTCTTCAACATAGTCAGGTACGCGCTCAAACTGTTGAATCTGACAGGCTGCGAGGATCAACTGCAGTGTCATAGCTTCCAGCTTTACAATGAACCCTTCACTAAAATTCAAAATCGGTACCACACAAAATCGCCCTTTATGAGGTCCTCGCCCGTACGGCATCGTATTATCATTTTCAAAACCAGTTGAGTGCGACATTGTGGCTTCTGCGATATCATGGAACGCAACTCGCCGAAAGAAGACACCCTTCATCGTGCGAACAGCCTCCTCCCAAAAAGCCGTTGCTTCCTTAAGATGTTTCTCGCTTTTATATGAAGCAATACGCTCAAGCCATAACCACACTTCACTGCAGAAAATCAGCGTTCGAAGAAAACACGCGGGATCTGCCACTTGCTCTACCAGATTCAACGCAGGCCGGAGCAGCTTTTGCGCCTCCAGCAACGTCTTTCGAGTCTTTTCAATCGCGTCATCACCATCTAAGTCATATAATTCTAACCTTGGCGATCCTTTTACGAAACTTTGACGGTGTAAGTACAGCTTGAGCATCTCGTCGTCCTGGTTGCTACCAAGAGCAAAAAATGATCGCTGGATTGGAGCTAACATAAAGGCGACGATCTCGAGCAAAACCTTGAGTTGGTACAGATTGTCGTCCAATAGGTGGTAAAGATCAAAGGCAGTCCAAAACGCATGTTGCGCTTGTTCTTCAGCTTTATCAACGTCTCGAATGCATGTTCTAAACTGGACCATGCGTTCATGCAAACACTGCTTCTCCTCCTTATTCAATCCATATAACGAAACACCCAGGGGCTTAAGCATTTCCTCAACCTGTGCCGGTGACACAACGCTTCCAACGAAAGTCGAGCATGTCGAGCGTCCACGCTGAGTAAGTCCTTCGTCACCGCAGCGGAGCTTTATTTCTCGCTCCTGATGATCTCGATAGATAGCGCAAAACAACTTCCCATCAAGTACGTACAGCTGAGCCTTTTTTCTAATGTTGCCACGGTCATTCTTGACGTGAGCTAAAGAAAGCCAAGCAAATGCCTTACAAAAGTCACCAAGCTTCATATACATCTTCACGCGACATACGATGTACCGGAGAGTGAATGACATATCAAAACAGTAGCGTGCTTCACTACACATACCACCAAGGCTTCTGCCACCACCGCTGCTGCTGGTACCAGGTCCCGTACCGCTACTGCTTCCTGGTCCACTAAAACCTTTAATGTTCTCCTGTAGCCGATCACAAAATGCTGTAGCCTCCCTTTCCATCAACAAACACATGTGACGGCATATGTCAAGCATCCGCATCTTAAGCGCATCTTCCGCAAGTAGCATACGCAGTTGCGTGCGCTTTCCACGAGGCAGCCGCGTGCTATAATTTAAAAGATGTTCTAGAACGCGCATCCCTTCCAAGCACCGTCCACTCGAGCGGTAAACGTCACGTATGAGCAAATGCAGATTAATGTCATGGTTCAGCCAAGTATCCACCTCGCTCGCACTTCCTGTGCTACGCGACGATAGGTGAAACGATCCCGAAAGCGAAGACGACACCGAGCTTGACGTGGCAGTCATCATCGTACAGCTTCGGCTGGATAGGGCTTCGCTGCTAGAATAACTTGCATTTATAGCAGACGAAAGAAAATGCGGTGGAAGCAGGCTCGTGTTGTCTCGCAAAAAAAAGGCAGGAAGTTGCCAGAAATTCCTCAGCATGAGTAAAATTCCCCTCACGAATCCAAAGTTTAGTCAGCTCTTGCGTTAAATACACATACACTGTAATGTTGCCTTGTTGCTGAGCTGCACAAGTCACCTTCTCATGCAGTGGCAGCGCTCGATGTACATCATCAGCTTCGAGCGTCAGCTTGCAAAGTAGTCGGTCCAGCTTCTCATACTGACTGCCCTGGTTTAAAAAACTGAAAAGAGCTCCCGCAGCCTCAAGACACAAGATACCATAGCGGTATTTGTTGTTCTTAATCAGGATGTTGCCCAGTCCTTCAAGTGCCTCTCGACCTAAGGCGGAAAGCAGTCCGAAGTTGCTAAATATGCTCAGGTATGTTGCTGACGTGGTCTTTTGATGACTACGCAAGGACGACTTTTGAGATAGCTTAGCCAAACTTTTCTTCGATGACGAGTCTAATAAACGTAGCGCTTCGTATGCAAGCGATTCAGCTACTCTCAAGTTACCATGAGACGCGATACTGGAAACGTGCATGCCAGCCATAACCGTTGCGCACTTTGCTTTCACCAGCGGAAAATCCACAGCCGCAATCCGCTCGTAAAAAAAGCTGAGCGCCGAGGCGCGAGTGCGGGATGATGGTCGAAGCAGCTCAAACAGTTTCGTGCTAGCGCTCCACCCACCTAGCCCTTTCGATGAGTCTCCACCACGTTCATACCCGCTATCGCGGCAATCAGGGTTCGACGAAAAGGAACTGCTATGACTGTCGCGATTATGAGGCGGTAATCCTACAAGGACGGGGTCAACGGTTGCCTCGTCATCTTCAAACTCGAGAAGCTCTTCAAGCGCTGGTAGTGAAATTTCTGCTAAAGCACTTTTGCTGTCGTACAAACTTTGGATGTCACACATAATAAGTGCTTGAAGGCATAAGGCATCTGATGACAGCGCAAAATGTCTAACATCCTCTGCTTCTGGTTTTCGATTCTCCACAGATGATTTGTGCCTCATATATCGATTGCTGCGACTTTCAGGGCTCGTATTCAAATGCTGAAACAGTGCGCCATAGAACTGAAACACTTCGTTCACGATCTGCGACGCGGAATCACCAACAACTGGTTCTAAAGGCAAAAATGCAGGCAATTGGTTGCATATCTGCCACGTGTATTCGTACTCGCCACTTGCAAAGCCAGCCAAGTGGTGACATACAAATCGAAGCTCTATAAGCGCAACAACGTTTGAATACTGCGGGAAAGCTTCCGCACAATGCACTAAAATATCCTGGAACTGCTGAATCCAATAAACAGTGGTCTTGTTGCTTTGTGACGACGCCGATGAGGACAACATCGACAGTGACAACTGCGTTGCAAGCGTCACCACAGGTTTAGGGCCGTATAAACGTGCGGCCTCCTGTAAAATTTCAATGCTGCATCCGATAACAAACTCCAACTCTGTCGATGATAAATTTTGAGCCCACTTCTCGTCTGTCATGCCAGTAGTTGATACTTTTTCAAAGTACATTCGAATTAGCTCGCGGTTTTCCTTGTCCTCACCAAAAAAGCAGTATTGTGTGATCTGCTTAAAAAACATGTCGACGAACTTGCGCCCAAGCGGTAGCGACACAAGCGCGTGAAAAAACTGGTTCTTCAACTGCCTTGGCGGCGGCAGACGATTGCGCTCCGCGTTCATGTAATGTGATACCATCGCGCAATCTGGCACGACCAAATCCGCCAGCCACCGCTCATATTTATTTTCAGTGTAACTGGGAAAGTTGTTGCGATCTCGCTCCAAGTTACTAAAAGTACAGGAAGGTTTTGGATATCGTTCTATCCTTACCGCATAAGCGGACGAATTGGCAACCTCGAGCAGCCGTAACTTGTCCACGAGGGTATACTCAATTGCATTTGACGAAGACGCCGACGTCAAACTGGATCGAATACCATCCAAACTTCCATCCACACTCGCTCCAGACTGATAAAAGTCGCTACGTCTCCTTCGAAAAATCGGCTCCTCCGACAACCTCCTTTGCCGTCGTCCTGCCGTGTCCATATTGTAGTTTCCACTATCCATGTCGTCTATTTCATCGTCGTCTGGTAACATTTCTCCATCCAATACTTTATGCAAATTTGGAAGAAAAAAATTGCCATTTTCTGCTCTTCTTCGAGTAGGGTCCATACTATCAGATGATCCCAATGTAGTGGCATCTATCTGATCATCAAAGCCAAATTCTGCATCCCAATCTTCGTCACTAACATCACTACTATCACTTCCTTGCTGCTGATTAATAATTTGCGTTTTTCGTCCAATTTGTCCAGTATCCTTGACTGATGAATACAAAGTATATAAACTTTGACTTTCTTCATCGTCAAGACTCCCACTTTGTCGTAATAATGTACCACTACCACTTGACTTTCCACCCACTTCACTTGTGTGTAAATTTCGTCCTGTGATTGTTGCTGGAATTTCATTCAAACTGCTGCTACTTCGACGTTTAGATAACGTTGTTGTCTCTGTATAATAACATTCACTTGTTTGGTTTTCTTGTCCTTTTTTCCAACGTGTACGTGATCGTTCCTTCGTAAGAAAATCATTACTCCAATCTTCCACTTCATCATCAATTGAGGCTGATAGTCCAACAACCACTTGATCATAACTTGGTGTCATGTGAGATGTCTGTATCATTCCAGCATTTTTTGAATGATATAAAGTAGTACTCGATATACTACTACTACTCGTAGTAGTAGTAGTAGTAATTGGACCATGACGTCGTCCATGACTACTCGAACTTGATTGAGAGATTGAAGAAATACAAGGAGAAGATGATGTTGTTAATGTCGTTGCATAATGACATTCATGATGATGAGATCGATGAAGATGACGATTACTACTATGAACGAATGCCGCTTGAGATTCATTTTGTTTGGAGGGTTGGTTCTGTTGCAGCACGCGCTGCATTGATATTTCTTCTTCTTCTTGTCTTACTTGATAGAAAAACGCCAAATCAAAAACGTAGTAGATGGATAAGAAAGAGCACTAAGACTTAGAATCTCAACTGAGGCATAAGGGATTTCCTTCTTTTGTAGGTCAGAATGAAATAAAAAAATTCGTCTCTCGTTCAAGAGAATGGCACTTAGCTATCAAAACTTGAGTGGTCTGGAGTCTTAAAGTGTTCAATGCGGCTTTCTGGCTACGATGGGCCATTCTGTGCAACATCCCGTCGTCAGTGAAAATTTCAAAGCCCTAACCATTGTCATGTGCAATAGTAAGGAAAAATGATACGTCGATATTCGTTATACTTGACTAAAGTATTGACACGGGATGGGGGGTGGAATGCAGGTTGTATCAAAAAAGGAGAAAAAAAATAGTTAAAGATACAAGTACTATAGGCAATGTCACAAGTATTCGATCATTACTTGTTCTAGACCAATCTACTCTACCTTTCTGTTTTACCCATATGGGATATTGTTACAACAATCGATCACTTCATTAAAATTTGTAGACTTGATTTACGTCGGAAGACTTTATGCGCTGCATTTATTCCAATTGCTTCAACTGTAAAAGCATCTGAGACTCAGAGGAGCTGTAGCAGCCAGCAGCTGGACAAACCGACCTGCTGTATCGGCGAGATGGACCCATTTTTTTAGTCGCCCTTTTTTTAAGCAGTAACAGGTCCACTGGCTTTCCAAATAATAAAAATTTGGTCTAAATTTTATGTCAACTGTAGCCATGATTCATCGCCGCAGCGTTGCCATCAATAGTGATATAGTAAAAGTATTAGGAGATCCTAATACATGATTCTACAATTTAATACCCTGCGACTTATCATTTACCTTTTTAAACAAATTATGTATATCATATGGTTTTCAAAATAAGTAGTATCCTTACCGGACAGCTTCTCTTCTTTCCGAATGCCGCGTGGCAAATTCTGAGTATATCATTCATTACGCGTTTTTTCCTGAAAAGCTCAATTACTATCACTACGTTGGTATGGAGACATCGACCGAGTCATCACGTCTTGTAAATCTTGTGATACGCAGTGTGTACATGCCATCCGAGTCCTTATCGCTTTCTGTTGATCCGCAAATGCTCATAAGTGCGCTCAAGTGTCGACTCTGCGCTGAATTTCCGTCGAATCCTTCCGTATCGAGCCAAAAACTTATTTTTGGAGGCAAGATCTGTAGTGATCACGAGTCTTTAGAAGAGATAGTGACATTGATACAAAGTAGTCATCAAAAGGGAGGAGGTGATTGTAATAATATCGTAGAGCCTTTAGTGTTTCACTTACTGTTGAGTTCGACAGGGATTGGGCAGGACAAGAACGATAAAACGAAGATGTCGACACTGTTACCGGCATTGACGCCGACTCTGAACGGTGAGGCTACAGAGGCACAACACTCCCCTAGATCCAGTATTAGTGGCACCACTTTATTAGCTCCAGATCCACCGACCTATAGTCCACAGCCGTCGCAGTCTATATTCAATCAGGCACCGGCTATGATGACGCAGCAAGAGCAAACCTTGTTTGGACAGAGTGTTCTTATGCAGCAACAGGCTATGGTGCTGCATCAGATTCAATACCTTCAGTATCTACAAATGCAGCAACGGCATCAGCAAGCTACGCGTAGTGCTCAAGTCCAGGATCAGCCTTTTGGAGCCCAGATTGTCCCACCGTATGGTAATTTATATGAAATGATGCAACCACAAATGTTCCGAGAGCAAATGAGGCCGCGAGATGCACAGGGTGTGCCACATACACGAGTTTATGATTATGTTTCTGCCGAGGCTGCTGTATTAGAACGACAAAACCGCTGGATGCTCGTGGAAATGGCGCATGAAGTGTTTTTGCTCTTGGACTTTCGAATGGCGCTTAAAATGGCTTTTATGCTTCTAATTATTGGACAGGATTTGCCGACAGATCGCATTCTTATGCTAGGTTTGCTGTCATTTATCTCATTTTTGCATATTACTGGCATCTTTGCCAAAATCTACGAAGTGTACAAACGCCATCGCCGTATCAATGCTGGCACAGCGCAAAACGCACCACCCGATTCGGATGCTCCTGGAGCAGCAGCTGCTGTTGGTGCAGCTATTTTGAGTCGGTGTGGACTGCTATCGCGTGTGCTACGGATTTCAGCAGACCGCGGATATGTCCAAGATATTAAATATTTTGTGGTGGGATTACTGCTATCCCTGATACCGGCGTGGCGCGCGCAGCCCATTGACGGTGTCGATCCTGTTCGTGGAGATGCTATGCCCAACGACATGCCTATTCAAGAAATTTGAGTGTGTAGTGTTTGGTGGTTACAATGATAGCACAGTGCATGTAGGAGGTGTAAATTATTGGCGTCGGCGTCAGATAAAGATGAAGGAGGCAAAACGTTGTCATGAATAACAAGCGGTGCTACATTGATTTCATTCAGAGCAGATATTATGACAATCTATTTTTGTTAGTAGGTGAGTGACAAATCAAAGTAAAGCTGTCGAAAGCATGAACATCATTCTTTGATGGCGTCCAGCAGTACCCCTTTTTCAAACGACAACTTTGTCATACATGAAACCTATTCATACTGCAGCAGCTGTGGAGATATGTCTGCAGCTTTGGCAAGGTTACTGAGGCTTTACGCTCACCTGAGCAACACAGCAAGCAATCACGATAAATTACTAATACTAGCATTTTGCAGTTTAGTTCAGACCGTAATCTCTCGTAATGCCAACAGATCGTTAAAGCTTGACTTGCATTATGGGCTGTCACCATGAACTGACTGGCGAGTTTTTGTGCAGTTATTCAATATTGCAGCTGAGGACGCCGTGAGTTGCTCTTTCTCGCTCTGTTGAAGGCCTTCAGTGGTTGCTCAACTCTTTCAATACTTTTCTCGATCCGTTTTGTGGTTGTTCTAGATCCGTGTAACTCGTGAGGTTGAACATGATGTTTTTTTTTGCTACATTGTTGAAGCTCGAACGCAATGTCTAGGCAAATATATCATTGCAACCTTGTAAGGCAAAACAAGCGATACAAGTCTTATACAATAGCAATTGCTGAAGCAAGGTCGTTCTATAGACGTAGTTTTTAGCAAAACACTGCTTGATAACAAATCCATTTGAAGTTCTTACCACCTATCTTGTCACTACTGTTTCGATTCACACACAACTTGTCCAATTTTGTACCAAATATTAACAAGTTAACGGATCTGTTACAATGTTAACTACATTGATGTTAACAAGTATTTACACATAATTAATTTAATGACAAACATCAGCTGAGACTAGAGGAATGATATAAGTACAGCTTTTGTAACGTGACAACGTTGCTGAAACGTGCCAGACCATATTTTTAGAAGCAGTATCCATCCATCTTAGTTGGTTGGCTGAAGCTCGAATTATGGCAAGTCCTTTTAGATTTTGTTCTGCATATCCAGAAAACATCTAGCCTGAAAAATTTGTTTGTAATTCTGTTGAGTTTGCAAAAAAAATCAGCTGATTCAAGCGGGTGCTAATCAAAATTTAGGACAAACAAGTGCTTGCTACAGTTTGTTGGTTGCACCAGTAAATGCTCATGCGTTATGCTTTTTTAGCTCATGAAGTCCAAGATTCGTGAATGTCGCTGGTTTTATTTTGTAAAAATTTCAATTGCTCTCGCTGTCCTGGTTTATAGTTCAGTGCCGCCTTGGAAATAGCGTCTGACGCATGTACGCGCAGCTTAAACGCTCCGATAACGCAAACTGTAGCTCGCGAGAGTGTCATGGTGATGCGGTTATTAAGGTTTGGTGTTGACGTGACAACTGAAGACAAACTGTGACTTCCGAACATTTAAAATGGTGAGCGGGTTACATAAAGGTGTGTATTGTACATACCCGCCTGCCACACCATTTTGGTGTGGCTCTACTTTCGGTACATTGGATGACACCACGGTCCATAGAAATTGGTTACGTCAAACGCCTATATGTATGTTTAAAGGCTAAAGAGCAAGTTAAATATAGTCACTAGCAATAAGTATAGAGTAAGTAATTAAATTTGTGCTAGCGGATATAAATATAAATATATTAGCTCAGACCCTTTTCTTAAGTATTTGTTGCCATAGCGTGATCCTAAACAGCAAGAACTAGTACATGTATTATGAACACATGATTGTATTAATTATAAATCAGTAGCTTGTCAAGCTAGCCTTGAAATAGGCTTACGAGCCCTAAGGCGCAAAGCTGGTAAAGCTTGTTTTCCTGCATAAGTAGTTTTGCTACACCTTCAAGCACTTGTCGTTAATCGCGCACCTGGGACAAACCATTTCTTTGTGAGGATGGATCTCGATGAGACGTCTGCAGTTGTCCTGTCACAGGCACAACAGGAAAGGCTGCAAAAGATGCCCCCTATCCTTGGCCCTAAGGAGGTGGAATATCTCATCGCTCAAGGCGAGAAGAGGTTAACAAGCGTACTCATATGCTATAAGAGAATGACAACGCTCTAGTTGAGAATGTTAAAGCACATATGCCTTCTTTTGCACCTTCGCCTACGGCGACTGTGGCGCAAGAGGTTAGTCGCGTATCCGATGGCATGACAAAATTAGACGTGCATCTTGGTCACCTCCGCCAAGTTTTAGTGGCTATGCATGAGAATAAATGTATGCAAACGTTTAAATTGCACATTCTGTGCTTCAAATATTCCGGTGTTGGGCAGTAACGTGAGCGCGAAGGATGTCTGCGCTGATCCGGAGAAAGCATCATCCATTTGCTCCTGGACGATTACGAAGGACCAGATACACCTTCGACAATGGTTGAGTCTGGCTAACTACCTGCATCACTACGCTAAGATCTTTGCATCAGTAATGTATCCGTTGTCACTAATATTAAACAAGGACGCCATGTGGGTGTGGCGTCAAGAGCATCAGTATGCAGTCGCCGGGATCGAGAAAAGGCTTTCGACAGCGCTCGTGTTAGCGCTGCCAAATCATGACACGCCATTTCATGTCGTCTGTGACGCGAGTGAGTTTAAATTAACTGCGCGCTGACGCTACACGATATCGCAGGTAGCTAACGTGTCGTGAGCTACCAATCGCGGCTGCTAAAGCCTACTGAGAATAACCATCCCGTTCATTACAAGGATTTTCTTGCAATGCACTATGCGCACGTGAAGTTTTGCGTTTTTTTGCTCGGATAGCAGCCATTCTCTATCTACACAGATCACGCGTATCTGTGTATCCCCACGAAAAGCCCACATCTCAGTCAGCGCATGGCGTACTGGTTTTCATTCGTCGCGGAGTCAGCTTCGTCGTGCAGTATAAGCCTGGTCCGACCAACATCACTGCCGATGAGTTGTCGTGACGTCCAGATTATTGATTTCGTGCTGATGCTTCTGCTTCCCGGACGATAATGACTGTGCGGCTAGCGTTACACTCGGTATCAACGCTACGGCCGTATCTGCGATCCCTAAAGAATTTGGTTATAAGTCCACCCTCGACCTAGTCGGCTGAGTGGCCACCTACCTGCCTATACCGCCATCCTCGCCCCCGACGCCTACTGGACCACCTGGTGTGATTTCCTCGAAAGAGAGCTGCAAGACATCTACCACCTCGTGATTCAGTTACGAGATAAACTCCAGCAAGAGAGATCGCTGACATATCATTTGCGGTGGCGAATGGACTACCGCCAGAGCCGCTAAGCTCTTATGGTGGCGGAGTTGGATCCAGAGGATTGCCGCACGAATCCATTCAAGGATCTCGTAGCTCCTCCCGTGACTGCTCCCGCAGTACCTTCCACCGCGGTGACGGGTAAGCAATCTCGGCGTCCACCGGCCAAGACGACCGCTAAGGTCCCCAAGTCCAGTACTCCCAGCACTCCCGCTCCGTCGGCGCCCAAGTCGCCCCCCCTGGGTCTACCTTTGGTACCCTGTCCGGACTCGGATGATGACACCGCAAGTGACGACAGCGAGGTGGTCCGGGCGACCTGGCTTGGTCGCGGCCTTCCTGGCGTCGTACCACGCCTACCGACCCGCCGCTTCCAGCTGTCTCGGCTGACTCTGTCTTCCGACCGGTCACTAACTCACGTCTAGAGTTATTCCGCCCCATGTTTGTATCTTCAGACTCCGAGACCAAGTCGTCCCGGGAGAGAATGTCCCCGCCTCAGCCACCAACGCGGGCTCCGCCCCAGGGGAGTCGCCTAAATTTCCGAAGGGTGACTTCATCCCTGGGTACATGCAAATGAAGTCCTTAACTGCAGCGGAGGTGGAGCCCTGGTCGGCCGACATGGCCAGCTTTCTCTTTGTCGTGACGATGACCCCCAGCGACTTGGTCGACCGCCTAGAGTTGCCTTGGGGCTGGTTTTATCCACCAGACGGGTAGGTTGGTCAGCCTTCCAAGTAGAAGTCGTCGTTGGTCAACTCCTCGATGCTCCAACACCTCTTGGTCGCCTGCCCATTGGTGCCAGCTCGAGTATCGACCCCCCCCCCGTATCCTTCCAACCAGTGGGCTGGTTTGCCGAATTGGAGGCGACCTACTTGCGCATTGACGAAGACCACAGCCAAGCAATCTGGGAGGCTAACCGCAACTTATGGATCTTCAAGGATCAAGCGCGCTACAGCTCCTTCTTCTCGTCGTACTACAGCGCACGGAAGAAACGACGGGGTCGTGTGATTTGGCCGTGATAAGGGGTCGTCAACCTACTCTTCAAGGGGATGAGAGACGGTCGGTGCGACATCGACATCCTGCTCAAACCCTTCTTCAGGCACCTTTCCCGACCTTGCTGCGTGGTATACTGGTTTCCAGGGTGTGAGGAAGGGTCGAATCCCGCCAACTTGCTGGAGGCCCTGAAGATCTCAGACTCCACCTACCCTTGGATCACCCTGTGTCGGCTTTCGTCCGATCCCCATCCTGGGTTTTCGGTACCGCGTCTCCTGAACAAGTTCGTATACACACCGTAAGCATTTCCATAATATACTTGTGCCCATCGTTTTTCAGTCTCTAACTTGAATCTCTGCTTCCCTTCTTCCTTCGAACCTTACGCCACTTTGCTGCCACAAAAGACCAAGGTCTACCAACGAGGGACCGGGGTCCATCTCGAAAAAGACCGGGGTCCGCCTCGAAAAATACCGGGGTCTATCTTGAAAGACCAAAGTCTACCAATGATGGACCAGGGTCAACCTCGCAAGACCAAGGTCTACTACTGAGGGACCGAGGTCTACCCACTATAGACTTTGGTCGACCGTCCAGGACTCTCGGCTTTGGCCTCTACTCCTCATGATTTGCATCCCTTCGAACGATTCCTCCTTATCTCCTTGCATTCGAAATCCCAACGTAAGGCTCCACAATTCAAAACCTTTTCATCCACCACGAGGATTCCTCATACCCTTTTCCATCGGACGAGGAGCTCTCGTTGTTGTTACCCGTAATGTGTTTTCTTTCCAGTGCGGGCTTCCATAATCTCTTCGATCTTGTATTCTCCTTCTTCCAGCTCTCTTGCCCAACTCCTCCGACAACAGGCATTTATCGAAGTCGACCCAATCTATTTCATCCGTCTCTAACGCGGCACTCGACCGATCGGGAAACTCTCTAACCCTCTAGAGTTTGAACAGATGTACCACAGGCAACAGCCTATACTCTGTACCTTAATGTTCAAGCGTGCTGCGTGCTCTCCTACCAACTCTAGAGCTCGAAATGGTCCATACCAGAGGTGGGACAGTTCTTGGCGTGCCCCTCTTTCACCCGGTACAGGCAGAGCCACACTTGAGTTTCCGACTGGATCTTGTGGTCGACCACCCCTTCATCATGTGCTATGAACCGAGCTTGACTGGCCGCTCATAGGTTGTCATTCACCTAGGCTCACCCGCTGATAGTATTGCTGAATGTGATTCTCCATCCGCGTCGCCAAGATCCCCGACATCGCGTATTTATCACAGGTAAGGTAGCCTCGAGGGTGGTTCTAGCATCCCAACCATGGACCAAGATAGAACGACGTCTCCTTCCGGACTCGGTCTTGCGCGGTGTTTATCGCAAACGTTTGTCGTTCTGCATACTTGTCCCAATCCTGCTGTCCGACATCAGAGACATACATCTTGATGGACCTAGTCAAGGTCTGAGCCTTCCTCTTTGCGGTTCCATTCGCCTGAGATCGACAGTCCGTGGTAGCCTGTTGACGCTGGCCCACAATGCGACTAAACGCTTGGAAGAAATCCGACATAAATTCTGGTTCTAGATCGTGGCGGATGGCCTTGCTAGCACCAAAACGGCAAAAAACGCATTCTTCGTACCCTTCAGCTGCCGTATGGGCCGTTCGCGACGCACTAGCCTTGGACATCACATACCCCGTGAACAAGTCGTCCCAAATTAGTAGCTCGGTATTTCCTCTATGCGATCTGGGCAGAGAATGAATATGATCCATCGCTATAATCTGGAAAGGGTATGTTGCTTTAACATTGCCTGGGCCCTTGCCCTGCAGCATTTTTTCGTGGTAACAGAGAACGTTAAAACGAAACCAAGAAATTGATGTAATATATTGAAATTGGGTCCAACGCAAATTGCCTGTCATATAATCCCCACTTATTGCAATGGCCGTGCAGTCCGAGTAAGAAAAAGTACAGCCGCTACATGATCGGGTTTTCCGATTAACCAGAACATTTCAACTTTCGAGACGAGTCATTCACACTTGGCAGCGAACGTTACATGTACTGTCGGAGCTACTATTAATATCAGCAGTGAGGCTGCGAATGGCAAGCGACAAAGGAAAACTTTGACTCAGCGGGTCTATTATTTCTAGTAGCTATATTCCAGAATTAACGTCGAAGAGAGAAACTCAAGATATAGCCGAGCTACTGTAGCCAAGCTTCTCATGCACTACGTGCAGAGGAAGACAAGCTTCAAGAGCTTATATTTCTTAGGTTTGTTACCCTATCCAAGGCTAGCTTTACAACCTTATGCCTTTGGTCGTGAACAACCGTGTCTCCAAGAGACTAGTATAAAGCTACAATTTCTTGCAAGAGGAAACGAACACTCAAGCGCTTAAGCTTTTCAGAGCAGGTTTACAACTAATTTATTGAATGTTTATCTTCCAGCACTAAACATAGAAGCGCCCACTCTATACTAGCTCTAGTCGCTATTGATCTGGCTCTGTAGCCCATTACATGTAAACATGTTTAGTCACTATTCTAAATTAAGTGTAATGACCACGTGGCTCTCTTCCACAATACGACCCTTTGTACCTTCGGTAAGGTCGCATCGACCTATCAGTGTACCCAAAGGACAGCCACACCACAATGGTGTGCAGGCGTGCATGAATCATACACACTAGGACCGTTCGTTGTTGCTAGACTTGATATCTTATTCAAATCAATGTTGAAAGCCTACTGATAAATTATATAATTATTTTATATTTTTCCAAAAAACATTAAGGATTATTTACAAGAATAAAATGCTGTCGATATGCGCGAAAGAAATTTTTCGTGTTTTGATTTTGCCTTGTCCCTATCCTTCCATTTCTATCTAACTACACACAATCATTAAAGTCATTGTTATCCCTGGCTGTATCCAATGATTCAGCCATCTCTTCTGCAGATATAGAGACCTGGCTCGAATAACTAAAATCTCGAGCCGAGACATTGAATACTTTGTAATAGTCGACAGCATAAACACCCGAGCGGAAAAAAAATTCGAGCACATTCATCTTAACCCCTCGGTCGAAAGGATTCGACATTGTCTCACTCGCAGAGTGCTTGCTGCTCTCGCTAACAATCGATGAAGATGCTGGTTTCTGGGTCATGTATGCGTATCGTCGCCAATTCATCTGCTCGTTAATTGTGAGATTCTTCGCGATGTTAATTATGTGCTGATATAACATCATGGCAAGAGCCACAAAGGTCGCGAAAGACACCACCATTACCATGACAACCAACAGGTGCATGCTAAGAAGCGAAGGAATCTCCACCCAAATGTCCATCGCTGATAAACTGTCATTGTTGCCACTTACGGTTGCCCTCACTCGCTCGGCGTGAAAATCGTACGTTGCATCAGCCAAAACGATCATCGTCAATGTAGCGAAAAAACCTAGTGCAACACAATGCAAGAGCACGAAGAAGAAAAAGAGCCGGTGGTTGCTGTACCCAACGCAACGATTGATCCAGGCGCAGTGGTGGTCATAACGGGCGATGCATATACCACATTGGGCGCAATGCTTGGAGCGAATAGGCTTCATGACCAAACACGTGCGGCAAAACTTAGTCGTATCGGGTAACTCAGCTCGCGATGCCTTATCCAGCATTGCCTTCACATCATGCTCGTAAGTAGAGACTCTACCTGGGTCTATCGGGCATAAGAAAGCTAATCTTACCCAAACCATCAAGAGCGATGCTTCCATTACACCAGTGATACTTAGAAGAACTGTGTGACTGTCCACAAAATTCGCGTACGTTGGATCAACCCAAAGTACTATGTACAGCATTGTAAACAGACCGACCCATGCTATCCAGATCCCCATAGCTGACTCGGGCTGTGCTCGCGTCAACGCGTGCAACACCACACTCCTCTTGTCCCTATCTGTTGTGTTCCAAGCAGTCATAACATCCTTACAACCTTCTTCTTTTTGCTCAAGTGACACATTCATTGCCACATGAACATTTCGCTTGGACGGATGCATGGAGGCGAAATTCTTGAGGGCTGCGCCGTGGGAATGCCCGCCATGCGAATGATTCATTTGGTGAAACGCTAGCAGTGAGATACCTAGCGCAACGACGATCAAAGGTAGCGCTAACCACCACACAAGCCAATAAGATGTCACCAAAATTGCCAGTAGCAGTACACCATGAAATATCGCCGCAATGCCCCGTGTCTTGCGAATATGTGTAGGCGGGTCAGACGCTTTATCTTTATCTGTCAGCAATTGTTCTAACCACAGCAATTTACGCTGCTTTGCAATATCCAAACACGTCGTCCCTTTCGCATCGGCCTCTGCCGCGTCAAAGTCTCTGATCAGCAAGTACTGCACCATAGGTTTATACTCGCTCATGCAGGCATAGTGCAGCACGTTACGGCGTTGCAGTGAGTAACCACCCGGCTTCGTTTGTTTCACTTCCTGCTTCTTTTTCAATGGTGCTTCATTCCATTTCTTTTCAGCTTCAAGTAAAAAATGTAGCATCCCCAAATGGCCTTGTGCCGCAGCATGATGAGCTGCAGAGTTGCCCCGAGCGTCTTGAGCCAGGAGATCGACGTATCCCGAGCGTAATAAAGTATCCGCGATCCGCATATTTCCAGCATGGGCTGCTCTTCTGTATAATAAATAATATAAGAATGAACAACAGACTGTCACTAAACTCGGCTGTTTCGTGCTCTACGAAGCCGAAAAAAACTGTATAGACATCATCAGCTTTGAACTTACATGAGTGGCGTTTCTCCTTCGTCATTTTTAGCATCCATCAGCTCTTTTCGTCGATTACTAGCCTGTATCTGCTGAATTAAAAAATGCATCGTATCGCAGGTGTCTTCCTCGCCTGCTGCCGTATAATGTATCAATGTATTGCCACATTTGTCCTGAGCTACAAGAAGATCCACAGGTACAGGTTGTACGGCCATGGCCATACCCCAGAGCAGCACGACAAGAGGAAAATCGCCATTAGCTGCCGCATCAAATGCCGTCTGGTCATTGTAAATTACATCCATTTGCTCACAAGCAATACAAACAAATAGATTGCACACTTTATTTATTTTGTATTCGTGTGAATTGATGTGCACTACATATGTTTTTTTATTATTCGCTGCATACAATGAACTCTACTGTAATGAAATCGCTCTTTATTGTTTAATAGATTAAATTAATCATCACAGTATCAATCATTAGCATACTAAGACTGAATATTCCTAATTTTTTAATCATTCAGCCCACAGTCCCCACTCCTCATAACGGGTACCTTTCGGCGAGGACCTTTCCTTTTAGCAGCTGAAATGGGAAGGGCTCTGCCTCGAGAATGCAGCCCTTGCTAGCACTGGCTGCAGATGCAGGAGTGGGGGGAGAACGAGAGCTAGTAGCTGGCGGCGTCCCCCGCTTCACCAGTCCGACATTCGCACGAGTCAGCTCAGCTGATCGCGCAAGCCATCACGCAGGGATTGCTGTTACAGCACTTGGTGGTGCTAAGGTATCTGCGCACTTCGAGCAAACCGGCAGCCAAAGCGGCCGTGGTGAAAGATAATGATTAATAAAGACCGCCTGTTAATTTGCCATATAGGATTGCCAGATAATTTCAAGAGCTTCATGTAGGTGTCCAGCCACCAAGCTCAAAAGAGCACATACTCCGGATGTAGCCGAGCTACTGTAGCTACGCTACTTATGCACAATGTGCAGAAGAAGTAGTCAAACTACTGTAGCAAAGCTACGTATGCACTATGTGCAGAGGAAGACAAGCTCAGAGAGCTTCTACTCAGGAGGGTGATAAACCCTCCTAGGCTAGCTCGTAAGCTTGTGCCTAACGGTATCAACAACCGAGTCTCAGAGAGACTAGTATCAAAGATACTGATTCCTTAGAAGGAGTAGAATGCTCAATCTGTAAGGCTTACAGAGCAGGTTTGAATCGGATTTATATTGATGTTTATCCTATAACACTAAATGTAGAAGCACGTACTCTATAATTAGTGCTAGTCACTATTACTGGCTCTATAGCCTGTTATTATTATGCAACATGCATAGTCATTATACTTAAATAAGTATAGTGACCACGTGGCTCTCTGCAACGATGCGATCCTTCGTACTTCAGGTACGGTCACATCACCTACTTCCGTACCCAAGGTGAAGCTACACCACATTGGTGTGGCAAGTGTGTATGTACAATACACACCACGTAACAATGTCGGCTTTATGCCGCTCGCCTGGTGTATCCCGAGCTTCCCCGCCTTTCATGCGAACAACGTCACCTTCGGCAACTCATCTACAACGACCACACCCAAAATGTCACGGCTCTACGTACTAAACACAATCTACTTTTGCACCGGATCCAAGCACGCAGCAAAGCTCTCGCTGAAGCTTTTATTGACGAGAAACTTGCCATCATTGAACAGTCGAACCGCTCGACTCACATGTTTAAAGCCGTGCGCGCCCTCTTCCGACAGTGCCCACCATTAATCTCGCTATGTAAATTCATAGGTAAATATATACCTCAGCCGCCAACAAGCAAGCACCAAGAATAAGCAACAATTTGCGAACCAGTTCTCGGACCCCACGCGCATGCCCGTCTCCGACTACGGCCTTTCACGCCCCATGAAGAACCCGATTCCGCATACGAGCTCGAACGCGTTCCGTCGCTAACGCAGTGGACGCGTACCGGGCCCGTACGTTATACCTGCTGAGTTACTCAAGTATGGATTAAAGCTACTAGCTTAACCCCTCGCCGACATCATCAATCACGGATTCGCCATAGAAGAAAACATCCACCTGGGCGACAAAGTTCAACTCGGACTCCCCAAGCCGAGCAAGCCGGCTGGCCAATGCGCTAGCCTTCGACCTATCGTTCTACTTAACAGCATCTGTAAGGCGATCTCTTAAGTGGTGATTCGTCGCATCTCCTCCAAGGTCAAACGATTTCTGTCCCCGGACCAAAGCGGGTTCAGACCCAGTCGCAACACTGCTGATGCAGTGTGGGCCCACAGGGGGATGGATAGCAGCACGTGCTCAGAGGTACAAAGAACGATTCCATATTCTTGGATCGACCTCTCTTGTGCTTTTTACACCGTCAATAGAGACAATTTCTCTCCGTTCTCGGTTCACTTCTTGATGATGATGAAATTCAACTGATTCGACTACTACCACGGAACACAATGCTCTCCCTCTGACTCGGCAATCGCCTGCTCTTATTTTCGACAGCAAAATTCAGGTACTACCCAAGGTTATTCACTGTCCCCTGTTCTTTTTGTTGTTTTATTTGAAGCAGCTTTACGAGACCTAGCCATCCAACTCGACGCACCCCACGATCTCCTCGCTGATATGACCGTTTACGCCGACGACGCCGACTTCGTCTGCCAAAGCGCTGAAATAGCTACCGTGATCGAGACTGAAGCCCCTGCTGTTTTGGCCAAACCGTCACTCCATATAAATCCGTCCAAGACTGAGCGCACCATCATACACCGCAGCCCAATAGCGCTACCCATCGGGACTACACGTGCCAAGAATGAAGATTGGCGCATTACGCGCAAACTAGGTTCCCTCCTCGGCGACGCAGAAGACGTCTCCCGTCGTGAAAATTTAACGTCCGCCACGCTCCACCGCATGTGAAAAGTTTGGCTTTGGCCATCGAAGACCTCGCAAACTGCGCGCCTTCGCCTCTACAACTGCTACGTCCTGCCGATCCTGTTATACAATTGCGGGACTTGGGCCTTTACCGATTCCGTGCTACACAGCCTCGAAATTTTCCATCGTCAACAGCTCCGCAAAGTGTTTGGCGTACACTATCCAGACACGATCTCCAATGCCAAGGTCCAAGACCGTACCCGGACTGAGCCACTTCGATTTTACTTGCTTTGCAGCCGATGGAGCCTTTTTAGCCACATCTGCCGCAGACCAACAGGCATCTCAGCCTACCGCTTCATGTAAACTTTCTTTAATCCCAGTGAGACCGGCAAATGGAGAGGCAGACGCCGACTTATGCTACCGATGGTCCTAGATACCGACCTTCAAACACTTTCTGCAGGACATTGCCTTCAACGTGCCCCAGAACTGTACTTTTTTCGCCTATGTGCTCAGGACTGCGCAGCCTGGAAGGACTTAACCAAGGCGATTGTAGCGCACACGCCGCTTAATGGGCTTTGACCGAGACAAGAAAGAAACGTAGAGAATGAGGGATAACCAGACACATGCGGAAGTTGCGCCACTTTTCTGGCAAGACGGCTTGCGAAACGCGTTCACATACATACATCTTCAGTCCAAAACTTGCTTTTTTGTATATAAAGTCGTCTCTAACGAAAGAAACTTGTGAGTTGACAATTACAAGGAGGTTGTAAACTATCTGAAAAGTGAACATTTCCTTGTGTAGATGCTGTTAGACCGTCCTACTGCTTTGCACTGGCAGTGACTTCTACACCTACGCATGTTAACGAAACCACCTAAACTCTGTGTAGATTTCAATAAATACGAGCCAAACTGTATCAAAGGAGCCATTTGTTTGACTAACGACCCATTTCTTGAGGTTGTCAGGAAGACGGTGGGGACTTTGGTAAAAGATGATGGACAATACTTTATCATCTTGACTTCAAATAGCAATCATTACAGTTAGTCCCCAGACTCGTTCTTACCTCTGTGAAATTTCTACGGCCACCGTCAGGTCTGCTGCGTGTGTTTTCCGCATGGTCCACGCTGGATGACGTCTCCGACAACTACGGTGACAAGCCTCTATCAACCGACGTATATCTGCGCACAGTTTACGAGACGGTCGTGACTGCGTCTCCACGTGGGAATGTGAGGCCTGATTACGATGAGCATTGGGTCGAGGCTATCATCACTCGATAGTGATTGCCATATACGTCCGTCAATAGTGCGATCTTATATGGGAAGTATCGACATAGGCTGCTGTAGACAGCACTTGATAGTGAAAAAGTCGATGCTCTGAGTCGACCGTCGTAGCCAACGCAACGAACGCTCGATCACTGGCTAATTGTCTCGTTAGCCAGGACGTGTAAGCCCGTCGATACTGGGCGAGGTGTTGCAGTGCCGACAGACATGAGCCACCAAACCGGTATATTCTGCATCGTCCCTCGGTGGCCTCCACCTTGATCTCCACCGTAAAACGAACCGCAGATAAATTGTGTCTGGAGAGATGCCGTTTTGGTTGACGTCGCACTGCCGCAAAAGGTTATTGCTGCCATAACCGACATCACAAAGTCGCCTCCAATCATCCATGTTGTCTAGAAGTGGTGCAAGCAGCGAGGTAGAAGGAAGCTGGCCTGTCCAATGCTATCAATCATCGAGTCGATACCCAGTTGTGCGGTCCGCGTGACTTCTACACCAGTAGGTGAGAAGGTAAGCGTACAGGCAGTCTTGCCGCCAGGTAGTCAGTCGTCCACATCACTAACACGATACTACCGAGAGCTCTTAGCAGATTAACTTTGAAGAAAAACCGTTGAACGACATATAGCAGCCGGTTGGTCTCGTATATGACAGACATATTTTCCATACATTCGTTGGGCTCGTCATCTGTGGAAATAGAGCGCGCGAGAGGCGAGCGTGGTTTTGTTGGGACGGACGAGCCTAAGCCTGTCTTGCTAATGCAGGCGAACGGTAACATTACCTTCCATTCGTTCTACACCATTATTGGTGGTTCTGAAACAGCGGGAGCGTATCGCACATATTGCGTCCTCGACCAAGTGCGGGCAGCATCTTGGGTCTTGTTCCAGCTGTCAATTCGGACATATTGCAGGCTCCTACATCATTGGCTTGATTAGAGGGCGGCTGGCGTTGCGTAAGGTGACATCTACAGCGACAGGGAATCGTATGGCGATGGCAATGCTCAAGCTTTTGCAAATCAGGAACTAGCATCAGCTGACGACACCGCAGACAGGTATCGAGCTTTGTCGAAGAGCTCTACCCCCAAGGTTACCTGCGGATCTCCGCGTTATGTGTCGTGCGTGTGCTGTATCACCTCCTGTGGACCGCCCGCAGCAGACAGAAAGTCTCCCTACCTGTATTATGCTCGCATCAGAGAGAAAAGCTTTCCTTCCTGCAGACCGCCCCCCACCAGAGAGAAAAGCCTCCCTCCCTGTGGACCGTGCGCAGCGGACAGCAGCTTTCGCTTCCTTAACCTTGTCCTCATAAATAGGGACTTCGTTCAAACATGAGGGCCAGCTCGAACTAGTCTTGCAGGTCGTCGTGATTCGCCTAGAATAAATGTAAACGACTTGCATTCATGAACACATCAGAGATAACGAATGAGATGGAAAGCATGCCACACTCTATTTACTTATCGCTAAGATATGGAGCAGCTACTATTACAACCTGTTTGTGAAAGAAATTGGTGATGATTGCTCTGGCTTTGCTGTAAATGACCATCACAACTGCCTGAAAATGTCAAGAATCGAGCGATGAGATTACATTCAAGGAAAGATACTTACTTCACTTACATGGCATTCACATGAGAAGGATAGTGGAGTATTTGGTCACATCCATCACACCATTTATGGCCTTAGCGACCTCAATTTCGAAATTCACCTGCGACAAGTAGTCGGATGAGTCAAGATGGTAAGCGGACCAATCATTTCCCTTATTAGCCATCAGGGACCAGATAGTCTTGTAGAAAATCATGAGGTCACAGAAAATCGTCGTGGTCATCTTAACTGGCTCAAATACGTAGTAGACGTAAGTGGATATTTCCTTGTAGTACAATTTAAATTCGACAGTCCCAATAAATTAGCGCTCTCCGAGTAAACGGGCGAGAACCACTTTGACCTTAATCGTAAGTTTCTCATCTAATTGAGACACACCGTCAAGAGTGTAGCCGATAGTTCCAGACATGGCGCCGTCATACTTCAAATAACTCCACTGTGGTAAAGAGTGAATTGATTTGACCAAGCGATGGCGATGGCATAGGTGTTGAGAAATAAGCGGACTGGATCGGATAGAATTGGCCATAACTATGCCATGTAAATGTGGTTGTAAAAGATATCATAGAGTCATTGATATTGGTGCCAACAAAGCACAAAGTACCCTCCCCATATTTTGAATTATAGCTTTGACCGACTTTGTAGTTGCCCAAATCAATCGAACCAGAATGGGACACTGATAGTTAGGTTTATCTTCATTTGCGACCAGAGCATTATTGGTGGAAGCAGCCGTAGTAATAGAGGGAAGAGCAGTGGTGAGACCAGCGATGAGGGCAGCGACAGTAAGAAACCGTTTCATATTTGTAAGTTAATTGGTGAGGGGGGGTCTTGAGGTTTTCAAGAATAAAAATAAAATTAGCAGACCGACCTCAAACTGATACGGCGAATCCTATAGCTTGTTCGAGAATAACAGTCATCGACGTTGCTCAGTGTGTAATAATACAAGTCACCAGGACCACGTGAATGTCGTACCCATGTATCTGGCTTCAGCACAAATGCTCATCTTTGCAAGATTAGCCTACTTGGTGAAATTGGTAAGCAGCTCCAGTGTCACTGTCCAGATGTAATCAAGCCTTTTTTGTGCCCAACAACTCATTGTAATAGGCTCGGTCAACGTTCTATGGATATTAGTTGTAGTGGATAGTATATGGATCCATTTGACACGTTCGCCACTGGGGCCGGATTGCTACACACCTCAAGGCGTAAACCTGAGCGCTATCTTTTGAATCGTCCAATTATTGTCATACCACTGCACCAAAATGGTCAAGATTACTTTGGTCAGTGCTCTGTCAATTGTCATTCCAACACAAATGACCAAGGCATTACTGGACCCGTATCGTCTAGTACTAGTAGTAGTGTTCTAGTAGTAATGGATACTTTACCTGTCAGTTTATACCACAACGGAGTATGAGTAGTGCTCGCATGATGGTGACATCATTGCGAAAAAAATGTCATCTATAGCATTCTACTCCTAATCTTTTAGATAAACCACGCATCACCTTGTAGTGTGGCTTGCTGCGTAGGTGGCATGTCGCCTGTGTCCCATACCTGTCAGTCTATCAACAGTGTGGCGGCCTCCGGGGTCGAGTATGAGCTGTAGGAGGGATGGGTCAAGGTTTACACGTACGATACATATATTATTGATTTATAGTATCCACAGTACATGTTTGATCAGAAATTACATTCCTGCTCGCGGGAGGAACATTGTTGCGACAATTACGTTGCTCTGTGGAAGGGCGACTTGAGGTTAAACGCAATGATCAACGATTGCGATGATATCCGGCAGGGGATGGGTAAGATTCCCTTAATCTACTGATTGCATCGTTCACATGTGGACTTGCTGTCCTTAACCATAGATCCGGCTTCAAGCATAAAGATTGCACGCATGTTTACGGCTTCGGGGTGTGACATCCGACCAGATGCCAACGTGTCAAATCCTGGCGGTAAAGGTGATTACGACCATCAGCTGTAATCTAAGGGTTCTTTATCATTCTCTTGAAATTCAACCTATGTGACTCGTCTGACTGCCCTGCGACCGTGGAGGCGGACATTGAGGTCGTTGAAGCTACAGACGGCGTTTGGCTTGTATTTATTGAAATTTACACAGAGTTTAGGTGGTTTCGTTAACATGCGTAGGTGTAGAAGTCACTGCTAGTGCAAAGCAGTAGGACGGTCTAACA